GGTTCCCAGCCGCGCTGAAGGCGGCGGGGGGCGGGGCACTGCCTGCAGCTTATCAGCTTCCCACTGCCTTGTGTTTGCATTGGAGGCCCCGGTGGGTCCACGACGGCGAAAATGGCCCGGAGGTGAGGGCCCAGCTAGAACTGCGACCTCTCACCTTGCAACACAGAGAGGCCCATTTTGATCCCAGCCTGCGGGACTTCGTGAGCTGAAAGTGTGCCTCGGTTCGGGCCTGCGCCGGGGAGACCGAGGGCCCAGGACCAACGAGGCGCATCGTCCTAGCGGCTCATTTTACTCCCATTAGCCGTGGGGGGACTTTCACAAACAGCAAGGGAGTTGCTTTCAACACTCTTTACATATTGACAGGGTAATGCACATAATGAGACACATCATGAGCCTTTTTAATACTATAAAACGTGAAACTTGGAAGGAATGAGCTTGTGGTAGGGTCTTTGGGCTTCTTTCCTGATCCGGCTGCCCCATCCCCGTTCACTCTGCGAACGCCGGGAAAATGAAAAAGTCCAGTCCTCAGTGGGTGATGCTGGCCCCAATGCACCCAGAGGAAGGCACGCCCAGCGATCCAGCGGGCAGCACCCAGGGTCACCACGCGAGCAACGCGCTCAGGCCTAGCTGCGCCGCCAGCAGGAGCCCGAGCCCGAGCCCGGGCCCGGGAGCAGCGGCGGGGCCGCGCAGGCAGGTGGTGTACGAGTCCAAGGCCACTTCGCGCAGCGCGCACACGTGCTCGGCGCGGCAGATCTCGTCGCAGGCCCGCGTGTCGAGGCTGACCGAGTTGTAGACATAGTAGCGCTGCAGCGTGCCCTGGTCGCTGGCGATGCGGCCCAGCACATCGTGCATGGAGCGGGCGCTCGCATCGGGCACCGTGAAGGCCTTGGTCAGCTGGTACTCGAGCTCCCAGCGCGCTGTTCCCTGCGCGTTCGCCTGGCTCAGGTTCATGAAGTAAGTCATCATGTCCTGGAGAGGGGGCAGGAGGCCGGCTATGGACACCTGTCTGCTTCCACCCCCAGTCCTGCACCTTGCTTTTGCCCCCACCCTCCATAATGACTGCTATTAGTTAATGAGCATTTACTACTTACCAGATGTGTGTGTGTGTGTGTGTGTGTGTGTGAAAGAGAGAGAAAGACAGAGAGAGAATCTGATGAAGTAACTGTGCTTATCACCCCCATTTAACAGATGAAGAAACTGAGTCCTAAAGAGGTTAATTTCTTTGCCCAGGGCCCTACAGGTGTTCAGTGGCCAAGGCAGGAGTGGAACCAGGTGGATGACCCCCTGGCCTATGCATTTTCTGTCCCAGCAAGCTTCCGGGTACACAGAAGATGCTCAGTAAATATTTATAGAGCAAATGGATAAAAAGCAACTTAAAAGAAGTAGGACAGAGTGCCTGGCTGAGATAGGCGATAGAATTGTGGATGACTGGAGGCTTGGGATACACTCAAGACTCCTAGGACTCAGGTGCATCTTCAGGACTAGAATCTGGAAGGGTTTATCTGTCCAACACTTTCCACTTAAATCTGTGGATCTGCTTCAGGTCACTAGAGGTGGGGTTAGAGGAGCTGCCATGTATTCATGGTATAGAGGTCAACAGCTCCTGAGTGGCGGAGCCAAGATTCAAACCCCCGTGTGTCTGACTCCCTCCCTGAGAAGGATGTAAGGCAGTGGTTCTCAACCTTCCTAATGCCTCGACCCTTTAATACAGTTCCTCATGTTGTGGTGACCCCCAATTTCATTGTTACAAATTGAACATAATTAAAGCATAGTGATCAATCACAAAAACAATATGTAATTATATGTGTGTTTTCCGATGGTCTTAGGCGACCCCTGTGAAAGGGTCGTTCGACCCCCAAAGGGGTCACGACCCACAGGTTGAGAACCGCTGATAAGGCATGTTGGTGCCCAGGCTAGAACTGCGACCTCTCACATTGCATCGTGGGGAAACAAACGGCCCATCGTTGGTGGGGCCAGGTGCAGGGAGGAGGAGGGAGTCCCAGCCTGTGATTCCTCTTGCTGAAAAAGGCCTCTGAGTGCCCATGTGGACAAGAGATCACACTCTTCAAAATCCTCAGCCCTCTTCTCCACCTTCATTTACTCTGGAATCAAGGACCGAGGTTATCTTATCCAGTCCGTGTTTTAGATGGCGTTTCTCAACTCCCAGATTAAATCTCAGTACCCACCTCTTCCTGGGACTCCATTGCCTCCTCCCTCGGCATTTTCACTTGCATGCCACTTAGACATCCTGAAGCTAACAGGTCCAAAACCAATTTTCTGGTCTTCCCTCCGAAACTTGCTACTGCAGTGATCCCATTGCAGTCAACAGCAACTTCCTCCTTCCAGGTTGTCAGACCAAAGCCTCGGAGTCCCCCTGGATTCCTCTTTCCTCACACCCCTCGTCCAATCCACCAGCAAATCCTGCCTGCTCTGCCGTCACAATACATCCAGGATCTGGCACGTCTCACCACCTCCTGCTACCACCCTGGCCCACAGCATCATCACCTCTCGTGGTTGGTGCAGTCACCTCCTGTCTCGTCCTCCTGCTTCTGCCCTTGACCTCTACAGCCTGTTCTCTGCACAGCAGATATGGTGGTTTTGTAAATTTTGTAAGTCAGCATATTTAATTCTTCTGCCCCAAACCTTCCAAATCCAGAGTCCTACTCATGGCCTGCATGATCTAACCTTGTCCCTCCCACTCTCTCCTTGTGCCTCCCACTGTGGCCACACTGGCCTCCTTGCTCTTCTAACACACCAGCCACACTCCCACCCCAGGGCAAAAGACTCGCTCTTCCTCCACCAGATGCTCATATGGCTCGCTCCCTCAGTTTACTCGGGATTGAAATGTCATCCTGTCAGTGACACTTTCCTGCCACACCTATAACAGCACACACACACTCTATGACCATCGTCACCACCTGCCTCTTCGCTGTTTTCTTTTCTCCTTAGCATGTATCTCATGCCGTACTTGACTTGACTTAGTTGTTTACTCCTGTAAGGATGTCAGCTCCAGGAAAGCAGTGACTTTATTGTGTTCACTTAGGTATCTCCTGTGCTTAGCACACCGGCCTGGCACATAGCAGATCATTAATAGTTTGTTGAATAAATTAAGGAATAATGTTTCTTTGTCATTTCAATCATCACAAGCACATCCCAGGAAGTGACGGGCTGCTTGATGAGTTGGGGACCTGCATTAGCTGCAGTGTAATCGGTGTAGAGAAGACAGATCTGTGCGAGTGGGCCTGAGGGCATACTTGAATACCAGGCTGAGGAGATCCATCTTATCTTGGGGACACTGGGGAGCCATTGAAGGTTATTGAGCAGGAGAGAGACAAGTGCTTTAAAAAGATTAATCTCTTCTGTAGTAGGTAGCAGGTGAGCTACCGCAGGGCAGTGCTGGAAGCAGAGAAATTAGGTAGGAGGCCCGTGGCAATGATCCGGGGTGAAGGGAGATTTGGGGAAGAAGAAATGACCTGATTTGGTGGCAGGATTTGGAGCTAGCACCAGGGGTCTGATCCTGAGTTCTAGCAGGAGGGAAGTAACTTGACCTTCCTGAGATTCAGTGGTCATTAGAGCGTGGATTAGCTGGGAAAGAATTAGGGAGTGTGGTGATGTGTTTAGGGCCCTGCCTGCCTCCCTCCTTCCCACCTCCTCCACCCCCAGCAGACCCAGGGCTCCTGACCTGCAGGCTCAGCGTGGCTCGGTCGTATTCGAACACTCGGATGCCTGGGTTGTTGGCCCCATTGACCACTCCAGGTAATGTGGTTTTCCATGGGGTGACTCCAGGTGTAAGGAACATGACACTGATGGGGACACCTTTTAGGAGAGAGACAATGGGACTGTGAGAGGCTGGTGAGAGGAGGGAGGTAGGCTGGCAGGCGCCCTCCAGGTTGAGTACCTGCATTATCATAGAACATCCGAAAGCTGTCCATGTGGTTGTGCCCGAAGAACTGCCCTGCGATGACTCGATGATGCTTCTGGACCACCTTCAGGTACTTCTCATTGAATCCCTCCCGGAACCACATTTTGTTCCCTTTCTTCTCAAAGAACCCCGGGGGCACGTGGCCAATGATGTACACCTATGAGGAAGGAGTGCCAGGAGGGGCTCAGAGATGCCCTCCAAAGCCCTTCATTTCCACCTCTCAAAACCTGCCCATCTCCCCAAAGGCAAGCAGACAGGTTCAAGTGCACCCCCTCTGCTTCCCCTCTTCCGGGCAGATTCCAGTATTCTCTGTACCCTGTAAGGTACACATGCTTCCCACCTCTGCTTTGCCCGTGCTGTGCCTGCCACCTGGAGTGCTCTTTTTAATTTCACTTCTGTAATCCTACTCAGACATCAAAACCCAGTTCAAAGGACACCTCCTCCTGAACCCTTCCTGATCCTCGCAGGCTGGCCTCCTCTTGGAGAGCTGGGCGCTGTAACTGAGCCTGCCCTGCATGACTGCGTAGCACATGCTAAGTGTTCATGTGTGATCACATCTTCCATTCCTTGAATCACTCAGCTAACAATACCTGGACCCTTGGCCACCACTGCAAGAAGTAGAATGGGGGTGAGAGAGAGGGCAGTTAGGAGCATGGACTTTGGAGTCTACCAGCGGTGTGTCGCCGCTCTAAGCTTCAGTGTTGTTGTTTTTGTTTTGTTTTACAATTTAAATTCTTTCTTGTTTAAAGTATTACATGAGTCTCCTTTTCCCTCCATTGACCTCTCCCCAGCCACTCCCACCCCCCAGCACATGCCCTCACCCCCCTACTGTCTGTGCCCATTGGTGATGCTCATATGCATGCATACAAGTCCTTTGGTTGATCTCTTACCCCCTCAGCCCCCATGAGCTTCAGTTTTTTCATCGGG